CACTGCTGATGCAATTGTCAACTATCACTTGACTGCACTGCTCTCACACCAGTACCCCACTTCCACAAAAATGTCCCAACACACTGAATCATCCCAAACTGCCACCACCACTCCCTCTGTTGCTCTCCCACATGAAATAGTCACTAATGCTGCAGACATAGTCATGGTGGAGCTTTTGATGCTCCATGACCACAGGAACAAGCAATACTGGAAAAGAGCTATGCATGTCATTTGGGAACAATTGCACACAACTTGTTGACAAGTTAGGCAGAGTCAGCTGTAACCATGTCCACAACACCTTTGGTGTGTGACACCACCACTCATTCCCCTCTATGCTGCCTGATGCCATTGACACCCACCCCTGCTGGCACCTCACATCCATGCTGCCAGCCCATTCCCAACTATGCCGCTGCTCATCGCTGTCTATGCTGCTCGATGCTGTCAACTTCCACCCCCTGCCAGTACCTGATATCCATACTGCTACCCCATTCCCACATATGCTGCCCAATGCCATCGACCCCTGCTGGTACCTCATATCCATGCTGCCACCCCATTCCCATCTATGCTGCACAATCCTGCCAGCTTCTGCTCTGCACTAGTGATTACTGCTCCCTGCTTGCTACTGCTGTGTCATGCTGGTGAGTTCTGCTGGCAATGAATCTTGCACTCTCCTCACTACCCCACCCTGTCTCTATATGCAAAACTATGCTGACACATACTAGTGTATGTGGCCATATGCTTTTGCATCTTCACTGGCTTACCACTTACCACACCATCAGATGCAAGAAAATGCCACTTTTGCCTCAGTCATGCTCAGACGGTCCTTGCCACTGGTACTCACCACTCCAGTAATCCACCTGGCATTTGGTGCAATGGCATATCATGTTTCCACCATGTGCCAGGAGTGGCTGCTGTGTGCCACTGTATGCCTGGACATACTGTGTTGTCATGTTGGGCTGCCCTATGTACACAATGCAGATCTAGTCTGGGCTATGCTATATATGTTCCTATGACATGATGACATTCTATTTAAAGCCTCTCCATGTGACACCTAAAAATATAATTGTAGCCAATTCTGCTGTCATGCATGACAATACAATTGTAGCCAATCCTGAATGACACATGACAACATAATCACAGCCAATCCCTATGTTATGGTGACAACTTGTAGGTCAACTCAACCTCTGCTGGCCCATGTCACATGACAAATTGTCAACCTCCACTGACCATGTCACATGGCCTAACTAGGTACATGGGCTCCAGTGGTGACCAATGAAGTTTTCAATGGCTACCTTTTGGACCTGCCTGACTTGGAAATGGAATCAGATGATGAGCACAAGTCAGACTCAGCTGGGCAGAGTAGTTCTGTGGACAATGTGGGCCTGAGCCCTCAGGTTGCCCATCTGTTTCCAGTGTGAGTCCTCCCACCCCCCAAACAGCAACATCTTGACATTCTGGCTCATGTTGCTCACCAGCAAGCTCAGACCCATAAACAAAAGGCTCTCAAGTCTGCCCTCAATGATATTGAGAAGCTCATTCATTCAAAAAAGAATGTCTTCAATGCAGGACACCATGGATTGCAAGCCTACCATGCACAAGCCATCCAAAGCTGCCTATGGATGGTAGTCCAAAATCAGAAAAATCATACTGAGGCTTCTGAATGTGCTGCTGAAAAGCCAGGGTTTTTCTGAGCAGTGGGGAGGGCATATGGTGCACTGTTGGGTGAAGAAATGGGTTGATGGGCATGAGCTTCCTGTTTCATTTTGAGGGTGCCACCCAAAATCATTTTCACTTTATGACAATCCTGCAATATGAGATGAATTACAGTCATTCCTATGCATGAACAAGTGGGCTGTGGATCCCAAAAAACTTGTTGCCTTCAGCAAGGAAAAAATGGTCCCTGCTGCTGCAGAGCATTATCTCAAGCACATCACTGATGTTGAGATGCCTCAAGGTCTCAGGGAATACATGGAGGTTGAACTATTCCCTTGCATTCAACTGAAGCCAAGTAAAGGAATTTCCTTGGGAACTGCATGCCATCTGCTGAGGTGAGAGGGATTCCAATTCCAGAAGTACAAAAAATCACTATATTATGATGGCCATGAGTGCCTGGATGTTGTCTCAGACCACCAAAACTGATTTCTTCCAGAGATGGCTAAGCACAGGAAACAGCTAGTGGAATATGTTGTCAGGAGCACTGAGCAAGAACTGCTAAAAACACCTCATAATTATGTTGAGAGGCAACTTGTGCTTTGTGCACATGATGAGATGATGGTACAAGCAAATGACAATACAGGAAAAGGTTGGATCCTGGATGGAGAACAGCCACTGTGGAAGAAGGGTGTGGGGCATGGCTTGCACCAGAGTGATGTCATTTGTTCCACAGTTGGATGGTTGTCAGACAGGAGTCACACATTAGAATATGGGAAGAATTATGAGGGATACTGGACAGGAGAGCTCTTTGTTAAACAGGTACTGTGTTCCTTATCATTCAATTAAAGAGATTCTGCTTATTCTAGTATCAAAAGCTGAAAGAAAAGATCATCCCTGCATTTGAATGTGCCCATGGTGCTGGATATCAAATGCTTCTTATGGTTGACAATTCACAAGGGCATGCTGCTTATGCCAAGGATGCACTCCTCACATCACATATGAACATGAATCCAGGTGGTAAACAAGCATGCATGTGGGATGGCTGGTTCATGTGCAATGGAGCAACAGTCACACAACAGATGGTTTTTCCACAAGATCATCCTGAATTCTCAGACATGCCAAAGGGGATGAAGCATGTCCTTATCAAATGAGGTTTGTGGCAAGATGGTCTCTGTGGGTGGTGCAAAGACAGCTGCACATCAGACCATTGTTGTGTGAAACAAATGCTTGACAGTCAACCAGACTTCCAGGCACAGCAGTCACTTATCCAGGAAGTTATTGAGTCATCTGGCCACCTGTGTATCTTCTTTCTGAAGTTTCACTGTGAGGTGAATTTTATTGAATATTTCTAGGGGGCCACAAAGCAGTATCTGCATGCCCACTGTGATTACAAATTCATCTCGCTCCAGGAAAATATGCCATTAGCTCTGGCACCAGTGGGCATTCACACAATTTGCAAATGGGAACACAGGATGAAGCAGTGGATGGAAGCTTATGGGGCTGGGCTGGGTGCACAAGATGCTCAATTTCAAGTGCAAGCATTCAGTGTTAGATTTGGCAAGTCGCTTGTAGTCTTCGTTCATTAATTGATGCTACTTTTCCTTACCATGGGAAACACTTCCCGTTTATGGGTCTACAAGACCACAATACTTAGTCATTCTCAAGCGCTGACAATACAGTGCGGTAACTTTTGTTTTATTGTCTTCAAATGTTTCATATGTATAAATTAATGGTACAAGGACTTGTGCTATGACCATGCTTGTAGTTTCAACACCAGGTTCAACACCTGTGTCTCACCCCTTTTGTTTCATATGGCATACTTAACTTGCTACTGTAGTAACACCACCTCAGACATTTGCTGCTCGTGCACTCGACTGAGGTGGGTATAGTGTCTTGTTCCATGTTCGTGTACTTTGTGCTCATGTTGTTACCTTAGATCTCGTTATAGGTAATGCAAATATAGATGTTTGCCACTTGCACACTCGACTGAGATCTCATTATAGATTTCTGTGATTCAGCTCAAGGAAATACAAGTCACACTGACATGTAACTGATAAGGTTGCAAACATCATGGAGGGGCATTAATCCATAAATGGTAATATAGAGGGGTCTCCTTCCTTATTAGACTATTCCCACGCCATAGCGCCATTTTCGTATGTTACCAGATTTTATAACTCTGTCATTTTTCAAGATATCAAAAATCTGGCTGGTGAATTTCTTTTGATAATAAATTGGGACAACTTCACAAAGAGACTAACAATTTTGCGAAGATTTGTGTGTGCTATAACATTTGTACAAAAGTAGAGGTGTCTAGGTGACGTGCACCATACATGACTTCCAGCCAGTGACTCCGCAATCCTATGCTCCAATTACATAATTGTTGGCCATAAATAAAGGAAGGCAGTCATTTCTGAACCTTGTTTGGAGACGAACCGCAAGGGCCATTCCACACACACAGTTCATTTTTCATTTAGTTTCCCGGTGCGGTTCGCGCCCCATTTAGAGGGACTCTCGGTAACTTAGTTTGCCCTGCTTCTGCTTATGACGTCGAGAGAATGAAAACACTAGAACTCGGGGGTTCGCCCGCTGCCTCTGGTCATACCGTGACATGTAACCTAGTGCGGTTAGCCCCGTCATGGTTTCTGGTATTGTTACCCTGCATCGATACAACATTGGTCCGGCGTTCTGGTCTCTTCTTCGTGATGATGTTCGTCTATTAATCTGTTGGGTCATGCGGAAATTTTTACGTCCACTCACAACATACAATGCATGTGGCAGGTGTGTTTTTTTTACAGTCCGACTGGTTCAGAAAGTGAATATCAGCAGGTTCATTGGCAACGACCACCCACTCTCCATCCACTAGTCTAATTTGTAAGGTCACGCCTCAAATATTGTGAAAACGTGTGTAATAATTTGTTTCTACCGAAACCACGGTTGACTCCATAGATTCCATCTCACCCTACTATGGGGAGGCACATTCAGGGTCACCGCTCCTATCCAAGATACGAGGTGAACGGAAGACTGCACACATCGTTCAGGCGCGGTGTACGCCTTGCATCCTGCAGCTCATTACGGTGGAGGAGTTCTGCCGTGGTGCGTTTTCTTCTACAGTTGATAACGAATGAAAAGTTGGTATTTGAATTGATTAACGGTTATCGCTTTCTGGTGCCCGATTCACGATTTCAGATCACTGGGACAGAGTGATACTGCATGTACTTCAAACTTCAATGCTGCCCCTCTACACGCTGACACTGCACTGCATCCAGTGAATACCTTGGGATGCATTAACCTGACGTGCACCCCTTTAAAAGCAGAAGGCTTGTGACGGCCGTCCATATCATCCGATAATGCCTAACGACACCCAGTCGACTCCTGCCCCTCATGAGCCTAACGAGCTGATACACTTTGACCACGTTGGCAAGTAGGTCTCCCCTCTCTGTTCCGCTCGTCGTGCACTCATTCAATAATGCAGCAGCATACCCAGTGTTGCCGGCGCAATGGGAGACGGAAACCAGCCCAACGAGACTGACCATGTGAGTTTCTCGTAAGAGTGGTTGATACACGCATGAAAAATTTTACCAGGCCGCTTTTCCCGGTTCGTTGTTACACATGCCCGAAATCCCCGGACTCTTAGGTAACGGCTCGTGGAAGGTCAATGTATTTAGTGGCTTGATATAGCCCTTCTACATATTTTCGTGGTCGTTACTTTTGTACCGCCCCCCTCCCAGTTGCGCCTGCTCATGTAAGAACATCGCCAGATTTTCTTTTCTTTTCTCTCTTGTTGCCATAAGAAAATTCCAAAGCCCTTCTCGTCAGGTAACGTGTGCCTACGCCCCACGCCAATGAATTTGTTCATATGTTCTTGGGTGGTCATCAAGCTTATCGCACACGCCCAAAAGAAAAGGCATGCGACGATCTTTGAACCTACAGTACAGGTATGATATTTAAACACCATGGTTTTGGTCTGCATGCTTTGAGCAGCAATCTGACTCAACCCTCGCTGCGGACCACACCAAACCGGTTTTGATGCCATGCCGTCCAAGCAAGATTGTGTTGTCAATCTCGCCTTGTTCAGGCCGTGTGTGACATAGCCGACGCCTTGGGGCTCTTAACCCGTGGCCACATGAAAACCAACGATCAAAATTTGTGATTCGCGAAGCTATTGCTGGTGTCTAACATTTGCATACCTCCTAGGTGTATCCCCTCTGTGTACCAGCGTTCTTCTTGCCTTGCCTGGGCCAGCATGCTCCCTCTAGTAGCAGGTAGTCTGGCTCTGGGCGTCGTGAAACGTGCTATTGCAGAACTTATGCAACTACAGATCCCAATAATCTCCCCACTTAATGCTGTCATTGCTTTTGCCTGCGGTGATCGCAATGTTGTGAACTTATAATGCCTGCAGGGACATCACATAGACCCTAGCAGTGGTGGTCAATGACGCCATATGTGTTAACATACATGGGTACAATATGGGCGGCACGCATTGCAACGACAATCTGTATGGTTCGTACTTGGGCCAATTTAGCCATCTAAGCCGTGTAACCTCAGGGGCTGCTATATCCTAGGGAAGGAGAGTAGGCTATTGTAGACAGTGCTTGGAAGTCAAAAAATGATGAGCAATCACCAGCGTTGGCTTAGTGGCTGGCTTCAGCGCTTATTGGTCTTATCGTTGTCACACTCGTTTCTTTGAGTCGCCAACTAGCCTATCATCATGTCTGGAACTCGTCCCCCTGAATCTGCTGACAATGCATCATCATCACATCATGCGAACACAATGAGCTTTGGGGCATCCTGCTGTGCCATCATCATCTGTTTTGCTTCTCTTTTTACCAACTTAGTCAGTTCTGTGCCAATTCATCTCGGAGTCAATACTACTGCGCCTCTTTCCTGTCCTGCCAACGTCCTTGTCCTCAAGGATATGGCGCCGCGACCTGCTGTGCACTTTTCGCTATCGTTCGAAACGATGCACGAGGTATGCATCATTTTAGTCGCGCTCGCCCCGCACTATGAACGTTTGAATGCCTCGTTTATCTGCTTCTAATGGGTACTGAAGGTTGAGTTTGTCCCTCTTCTAGTCATCATCAAGAGATACTCTCAAGATGATAGGCCTATCAACGGCCTTTTGTCGAGGATGACACCCGGTACCTTGCAACACTCGTTGCTCCAAAGTGTGTTGTTCAGTAAATGAGAGGTGATTGCTATCCAGAGACGGTATGTCACCCTTCAACTCAATTAATTTCATTTACATGTTTTACATTTTTGGCGTCTTTATACTACATACTCGGATGTCTTCACTTCCGCTCACCTTACGCGATGTGACTGTGGATGACTCTACTCGGCTGTTTCTGAGTGCCCAGGGTGCCAAGACTGCAGGTGCCCATGTTTGATATTGCCCCTAATTCCCCGCAGCTCTGCTTTGACCACCATTTCTGGTATCAGGCAACACCTCTTCCATCAAGCGGAGTATTTGTTCTCTTGGATACTCGTTGCGTGCCCTGAACGCCAACTGCTTACAATAGCGACGTACTCCGTCATCATTACCATCAGTTGCACAACATCGACCTCCCTCCCGAGGACTTCTAGGCTACTCGTTATGCATACTACCTCGTTACATGGTTCCGAACGCTTGGACGCAGTCGCCATATCCCCAGACTCACTAATTTATCTTCGCAGGGTTTTCCCTCACCGACGCCATTTGAGCCTATGAGTTTCACAGTGGGCTGCTGATTTGGCTGCAAGCAACTTTCAAGGTTTGCGCCGTCCGCACTGTGGGCAGTGAACCGTGCAGCATGTTCATCGTGCCTGAATGTCCAAGATTAATACCATTTTCTTTCCAGTGCAACGATTTAGCTGTGCCCATCTAATGGTGCACTCCTATGGCGTTGATACTCTACATTCAAGACGCCACTCAGGCAGCCACACTTTCCATTAAACTTGCATGATGGGGGAACGCTACACAGGTCACGGCCTCCGCGCCAAGTTGGCCTCGCTTACATAATCTATAAACCGGCAGAACTGAGTCGCTGCGGCGGATGTCCAGTGGGCCTAGTCAGGTGGGTATTCCGCGCGTCCGCCTTGACTCACGGATTTAGTTATGTAATACATTGGCAAGGCTTCCGTGGTATAGGGTAAAGTTCTCCGCGGAACGCCCTGTCGTTGCAGGACTGCATTGTGCGTCCGCGGAGCTCGCGCTTTGTTCCGTTAAAGTCTTCCATCCACCTGTTCTGCTGCTCCACTCACACTGGGTCGTGTAGCTTAAAGCGCCACGGGGACAAATTGGGTCTCCAATTTTGATGTCGTCGTTATCTGCAATCCAGGGTGAGTTCTCCGCTTATCTCGCATAACTTCTGACATTACTCTCTGACTCCAGGAAAGTTGCACTTCTTTCCAATCGCATAGTGACGATTCTACCTATGTTCGTGGGATAAGAAGTTCATCAGGATTAGTTAGGAACATGATATGTGATCCTTAGGTTGTATTTTCGCATAGCTGATTCTCACGGATTGCGAGTTTCAACAGCATTGGGCAGCTAAAATCAAATCGTTCTCTGTGTACTGGTCAATTGCGAAGGTCACGCTGGGCAGCTCTTGTGTATACAAGATTGTTCAGCCTAATTTCCAGAAGCCCTGAAATGAGCATGGCATGTGTGCCCCATTCATCGAGGACCACACTCTGGGGCAGAACTCTGTCGATCACATCTCATCATTCCGCAGTGTACAAATGGGTCCAAGGTCCCGGGTCTTCCTTGCCAAGACACGAGGTCAATTAGAATCTTCAAATCAGTCGGTAAATGCGCGGAGGCTAGCACGGATGGAACACGTACATGAATTGGAGGCGGCGTGTGCTGTTCGTGTTGCGGCTGATCACAGGGAGGTGCACTTCTGGACGTGGTACGTCTGTTCCGCAACTTTCGGATGATGGGAAAGAAAGAGATCAGTTGATGGCGAACATGCATTATTTTTTGAGATCAGATCGCCACGAAGATGATGATCAAGGGAGCACTCCGGACAATTCACTATTCCGCGAGGTATTGGTATAATGCCATGCGTGTTCTCCCATGGCGTCTTGTCGACGGCCGGTTCTGAGTTCTGACGGTAATAGAGGGAGAACATCGTGTTATGGATCAAGATGCAAATCTATGATCGTTTGGATTCGGTGAAAAAGTTGCTGAATGAAATTCGCTGCTCTTTGGCCTACCGAAATCGACACTGCATCCATTGAACCACGCTGAATGGCTGTAAAACAACATGCACTCTGATAGCCCTTCTAAAAAGGCAAGGTGTCGTAGGGATGAAGTCCTCGATCCAATCCAAGTGCAGAAGACTCGAATCCTGTAAACCCTTCGACAATGCCTGACAAGATCATTGTTACTTCTGAATTCGAAAGACCCGGACACTATGAGGGCCCAGCTACTTTGTTTGTCATCCCTCGTTATTCCACTCGTTGTGCGCTCATGCCATGGTACACCAGTTCATCCAGTTCTAGTGCAATTGCTAGTGCGTTTCCATCTCAAGCTCCAGGTGCAAATGCCATCCACCCCGACGACGTGAGGTTTTACGTGGAGAGAGGTTGATGCACGTGTGAACTTTTGTTTAGCAGATCGAAGTTCCTGGGCCTGTTGTGTACGCCTCCATAGGCGGAACAATGTTTGGCGAAACCGATATTCAACTTCACCCTCATGAGCTCGAGGTGTTGCTACACTCCGATAATGTTAATCAGTACGGTACCCTTCTTTGCTCCACTCGTGCGCTCATGGAATGATGCAGTGATTCGTATACACCCGCGAGCGTTCCTGAACTTGAAGTTCCTCTCAACCAAGCCCCAGATAGGGGCCCCATCAACAATGTGAGTCTATCCATAGAGAGTGGTCGATACTTGTATAAACAGTTTTTTGTCCCTTCCGTTGTCTGTGCAGGTTCCGGAAATCAGTGACAACGAAACCACATATCACAGTCCCAATATGCGACCCCAACATGACGGCAATAACCAGTAGTCATGCAAAGGATACACTCTTCACATACCCTTCGCATCATTTTGCGAAGATTCCGTAGAAAGCAAACCCATACTAATGCTTTGAGATGGATTCATTACATGTTTTCTTCTGTAAATTACTCGCGCACGTTTGTCAAGGTCTGGACGGACCGTCCGGGCCATACCCACCTCTCGCGAACGCTTCCAGGAGACATAGATAGGGTTACTTGTTGCTGTGGGCAGGCTTGCTCGCCTGTCTCCAAGTACCCGGGTACCAAGAGTGTGGTTGGCGTGTGTTAAGAGTTTTCTTATATGGCGTTACATTTGTACAAAAATTATTTGACGTCGGGAATTTACTTGATTGTGCGGGACAAACAAGATTTTTGTGTCCCGCAACCAGAATTGATTATGTAAGCACTCACATCGCACTAGCTTTGAGTGTAGTTAGGCCTACCAAATGGCCTCATCACCTATTATGACTCATACTGTATGTATAACATTCTAGTGGCACATTGTTATGACTAGATCTGCCCCCCCTTAGGAGCTTCTCCCCACAAATCCCCACAGTTCATTCTCATCACTCCTCTGCATTCTATATAATTACATAGGCATACAGGGGTGCAGCCACTACACCCAAAACATGGCCTCATTTGGCACATGTCTGATATCCAACATTCCCACACACTGCCCTCATTGCCCCCCCCTTCATG